GAGATTTGCAGAAGTTTGGTCTTGGGTGTCAAAAGGTCTCCAAAAATATAAGCTGAAGTTACATACAGTACACTGAAAAATCTTTGAAAGCCTCTACTATCTTTAAAAACGAAACTCAACATCTTCATGGTTTTGTTAATATTTTGAGCATCAGACTAAAAAGGTTAAACAACAAAGACATTTTTTCCACATCCTTTTTTATTCCTGTTTTCAAAGAATGCCAATTTTAACAGAAGGCACTGTAAATCTGTTCTCTGATGCTTTGCCGTACAAAGTTTTGGTCTGTTGCTTCAAGGCACGCACTGACTTTTTTCCTGCCATCACACACAAGGCCTCTCATCTCTCATCGCTCAAACCGTGTTGATGGGCATAATGAGATGGAGATTGATAGCCTCCATCATGCAGTACATCCTTGGGGTGCGTGCCAGCCGTAATAGACAGATTTGGAGTGACAGAGGGTTAAGTATCCCTTAGATCCATTTCTGTTTGCCCTTTGTCTTATCGACATACTTCTTAAGAAAGCCGCCTGCCATCGCTCCAGTTCATTATTACGTGTTGCATGTCTGAGGTGGACATAATTCTAGACAAACTCTATTAGATTGCTGATTTATATTCATTTGCTGAACTGTCTGTATGCTCTATAGATACAGTCGGTCATTATTGCTTGTTGTAGCAGTTTTATATACTGTATATATATATATATATATATATATATATATATATATATATTAGGGATGTGCGGAGCAGCCGGTATTTGTATTTGTATTTGTTGAGGGGGGAAAAGTATTTGTATTTGTATTTGAGTAAAATTCAAAATGGCGCAAAAATATATATTTTTTCTATTACACTTCTAATTTACGTTATAGTGAAAGTATTGTTTAATTATACCCATTATATAAATTATAGATATGCAATATTGGCTGTTGTTTTTGAACATGTGATAAGAAATGTCATTGAAAAGAAAATAACATAGAAGCCATTATCTCATCTATGGTTAAACCAACAACTAATAAAATACCATTGTGAATATTATGAACCCCACCACCACCGTTCTTGTTGAAGGACACTGAATAGACAGAATAAAAACAAATAATACTTCAAAAAACTGTTCTTCTTCTGAAAGAACTTCTTTCCAATGGACAGAATTCCAAAAACTAATATTAACTAAATAAATCTAAATAAAACCCTGCCTGGGAAATCTGGCAGAACAAAAGTATTCTATATAATACTAAAAGATACAGCCCTGCTATTATCATCTGCCAGCCACAAAAAAAGACACAAAGTTTGTTTGTTTTTTTTTTTTTATGTTTGAAACTGACTTGCTGGGGCAGAATGTGGCTGTGTTGATGCTTTTAGGATGCTTTTAGTGCATGTGATAATACATTACATAAGGTTGCGCGGTGCTCTGTTCAGTGAGAAGCGCTCTCTATGGCAAGCCTTTTAAGCATTTAAATCTTTGTTCTGACTCCATAAATATATTAGAGATATCTCTAATTATATTTTGACTAGTCATAATTATAATTCCACTACTCAGAATGACAATTAGACATATCTGCAATTACAATTGTACTAGTACGAAATCAGATGAATTTTGACTAGTAACAATTGTAATTAGAGATATCTCTAACTGAGTTTTTACTAGTCATAATACATTTGGAGATATCTTTAATTCATCATATTTAGAGATATTTACAAATATATTTGAAGATATCTCTAATTAATTTACTAAAAGTCTAATTACAGTTGTAGATATCTTGAATTGGATTTTTGACTAGTCAAAATTCATTTGGAGATATCTCTAATTACAATTGTGACTAGTCAAAACTTATTTAGAGATATCTGCAAATATTTTTCAATGGAAGTCAATGGTGGAATATGACTAGTCATAATATATTTGCAGATATTTCCAATCTGACTAGTCGAATTATAGTTATGACAAGTCAAAATATAATTTAGAGATATCTCTAAATATATTTATGGATAGTCTGAACAAGGTTTAAATGCTAAAACGGCTTGCCATACGCTCTCACCCAGTAGCACAGTGGAGAGTTCTCTAGTTATATCCTTTCAGTCGTTTGTTATGCATTGACATGCAGTCAAATATTTCGCCAAACAGTCCTTAGGGATGCGGTGACACGCAGTCAGATATTTTACTGGACAGATCCGCCACTTTTGGCGCGCATAAACGATAATAAAGCTCTCGTGCTGCAGGAATGAGGAGGTCTGCTGAAGGCGCGCAGCTGTCGTGCAGTGAGAGGTTTGCGTCTTTAATAAACTACGGCAGTTTGCGATCACTGAACAGTAAGAATGATTAATAAATCCATATGAAACAACCCCTTTAAAGTCACGTCTCGCTTTCAGTTTCGGGCATTGGCGCGTTTTGCCTCTCTCTCTCTCTCTCTCTCTCTCTCTCTCTCTCTCTCTTTCTCTCTCTCTCTCTCTCTCTCTCACTCACTCACGCGGGCATGCACTGTGGTCTCATGAGGAAACGCTGCTTTTTGATATAGTGTTTTTCTTGCTCCCGAATACAAATAATTTTTCAAGTATTTGTTCGAATCAAGTATTCGTAAAAACACGCTATTCGTGCCTTTCCGAATACCGTATTCGGGTTCGGCTCCACCCTTAATATATATATATATATATATATATATATATATATATATATATATATATATATGTATAAATAAAAAATCATGACTTCTCTCAGGTTTAACATGGGACTTTTGGACTCAAATTTATTTAGCTGCTTTTTCAAAGCAAGGCAAGTTTATTTATATAGCACATTTCATACACAATGGTAATTCAAAGTGTTTTACATCAACAAGAATAAAGGAAACAAGAAAATAAAAAAAAAAGAAAATAATTATGATAACCAACGCAATCTCACAGCAATTTGAAATGTTTTAGATTTATTGGCTAATTCAAATGAATGTGTATGATGTCATTTGCACTATTTATGCCCCAATGATGGTTGAGTGCCACATCGTCTTTTCAAAATTGTACATTTTCATATTCAATTTATTCATAACAATTTGCTTTTGTAAAATGTTGTTATTATTATTATTATTAGCAGTATTATTTATTATATGGATATTTATATTTGTTTTATTAAAAACAAGCTTGGATTTGCCCACCTGTCAGGTTTTAGACCATATGGGGCAGAGCATGTGTATTTGGATATAACTCGGTTGTTCGAACACACTTTTTTATTATTGTTCATTTATCCGTTTGCTGGAAATTAGAACTGAATTTAGAAATAGTTTTGAATCAAATATTTGCGCTTAACAAACTAAATTAATTATTTATAAGGTTTCCCTATCCACGAGAGAGAAAGTTAAAGTAGATAATGAGAAGACCTTATCTCATTCTCGCACTGTAGATGCTCTGTTTAACTGTTTTCTTGCTAGTGAAATGCTCAGTTTTTTCCACTTACAAAGTGTGCCATACAAATGCACTATGGCGCAATGCAACTGGCTCTTAAAGGGAATGGGAGATAAGACTCTGATTGGTTTATTTTCAAAACACACCCATAACTCACTCAGAAAATAAGCTCAACCCTTTTAGACCATGCGCCAAGGTGCAAAGCAGATTTTTCCTACCTTAATTTAAATAGGTTTTATAAAGTATATTTTTACATAGCCTTCTGGAATGCTTGATTCTGATTGGTCAGTCTTGACATTTCAAGTTATGTCATTCCCAGATAACAAGTATTGAAACAAGTAACACACGCTCATCCGGGTATATTTTGAATCTTCTTAACTGTCTTCGGGTCCATATTTTATGCTTGTCTGTCTGTGACTTGGGTTTTGACTCTTTGGCACCATATTGTGACTGTATAATACATAGGTGAGTGTATACTTGAAACATCTTCATTCAGCTGTTTTCGATTCGACGTCTTTGCGTTTAATTAAAAAAAAAAAAAAAACTATTAAAGCACAAATCAATGTTTTGTTCTGGCAAATAATTGTGTAATACGTTTGTAAAAAAATTGTGTACTTATTTTTCTTTTGTCCGGGTTGGGTGTTGAGAATGATGAGACGAAGACCCAAATGCAAAGAACCAAGGATTTTATTATATAAAAGAAAGAAATAAACAAACAAAAAACAAACAAACAACTAAAACAATCCAGTGGGGGGAAAATGTAACAACATAACAAGACTAACTTGACTTGGCTTGGCTTGACTGATGCAATACGATGACAGACCAGCACAGGACAACACTTTTAGAAAACAAATAGGGAAAGTACACCAATACACTGACAAGCAGGCAGGTGAACAAAATGACGAATAATAGGATCATAAGATGGGTAGGCCAAGAGAATAGATGGGAGAGCACATGGTACAAAGATCCAACAAATGCCATGTGCTCACGAACACGCAGCCAATGAGAGAACTCATTAACTGCATGTTCACATGAAACAACACTAAAGCACGCGACCACAATGTAAATACCAGGCCGCATGCTTTAAACAACACCAACACCGCGTCAAGTAGGAGCATGCAGGATGAAGTGCTCGACCAGAGGAAACTCCAGCAGAGCACAATAATAGACATGACAGGACTAGTGTCCAGACTCTGCCACCAAAACAAGAATTACTAGTCCTGACAGTTTTTGCCAAGTAAAATGCATCAGGCTTATACAACAGATGATAACAACAACTTGGATGTACTTTTTTTTTCCCTTACATATAATATAATATAATATAATATAATATAATATAATATAATATAATATAATATAATATAATATAATATAATATAATATAATATAATATAATATAATATTTGCAAATGATCTGCAAAAACTAAATGTAGACCTGTTCAGAATAGGCAATATATTTCCTCACGTAATTATGAAAAATATAATTTTGCATTCAAAATCCCCTTGCCTCAAAATTTGAAAGCACATTGTTATATCTGACTCATCATGCATCGCCTCCAACTGTTTTAATCTCAGCACACAATATTTTAAATTAATTTGTTTTTCTTTTTGTCCTGCAGGTCTTCCACAAGCAAACAGGGACAAGATTTTCGAGGGCTTGACCACGGAACAGGGATTCTACACATCAAAGGATTTCCTTCCTTTGGTTGCAAAAGCCAGTAAAATAGGTATTGAAGAAGAGAGACAAAATCCTTTCAACATGGTGCAATGTAAAAAAAAAAAAAAAAAAAAAACTATATACCAATTGACATCCTTTCACAATAATTCAGCTAATCTTCTGTTGTGTTCATGTGTATACGATGTTACAAAATTACTATACTTTACCCTTTGATGCACTACACTGGTCTAAAGTGACCAGTCTAAGCTTATTTTTTTCTATATCTATTTTATAGCCTGTTCATCAAAGGCTTAACAGAAAATGTGTATTCAGAAACTATTTCTTAGTTGTGACATTCAGAGGTCAAATGTTACTGATTTCAATCAATATTTTATGCATTTTATATTTATTTTCACCTAAATTTTACTCATAATTTGTGTTTTTTTCATTCTTGAAGGCATGTGTAATTGCCGCTCACAGCTGCCAAAGCTGCATGGGAATGTGATCGTCCTGGGTGCAGGAGACACAGCGTTCGACTGCGCCACCTCTGCTCTCCGCTGTGGAGCTCGACGAGTCTTTGTGGTCTTTAGAAAGGGCTTCACCAACATTCGCGCTGTTCCAGAAGAGGTAAAAAAAAATCTGTTCAGCAGCACCTGCTGCCACTGATAAATTCCTATTGAAGGAACAGCTGTATACCCCACGTCCTTAAGAAGACATTTTCTCTTTTTGTCCTCTTAAATTGCATTTTGTGTACATTTTTTTGGTCTTATTTTTTCAATAGAATTCTTTCAATAGAATAGAATAGACAGACTATCTTGCCGTGTCAACTGCTAAAAAATGACATTATTTAATGTAATTATAAATGACATTATAAATGACTGAAATTATGTGAAGTGAAAAGTGTGAAACTTGTTTACTCAAACAACATCCTTTGAGTGTATTTCCTTTTTATAAATGAAGACCGTTCCAAAAGTTTTTATGAGGTGAAGTAATGTCCTAGTAATTAGTTTATTGTTGTTGTTGTTGTTGTTGTTATCAAAATTAGTATTATCCGTTTTATTATATTTTATTACCACATAAATAGAATCTAATCAGGATCAATTTCATATGGTTCCATAAAGAGCCATGGGTTCAAAGTGCTATATGTAAGGGATGATCAAGGGCTTGCTGTGCGTTAAAGGATTTTAATGCATGATGTGGAGACGAAGAATTACACAACGCACAGTGATAGGCCTAAGTTCAAAGTATTTTTGTTCTTTGCAGTGAGATATTTGTTTGAATTTTGACATCCTAGATTTTCTCCACTGAACCATATATATGTATTTTTTCATTATTATAATTAGGGGTGTCAAAATTAATTGTTGCTTCGGTGCACTGCGATGCTGACGCGGACAATTCGGTATCGGTTTAGTAATAATCATGACCCCATTTATCTCATATGCATTATGTCGCCGTAGCTTACTATGAACGCAGAAACTGCACAATTTCACTGCGTGTGTGTTTGCTGGACAGTCCTGCACTGACACTTACAGCAGAAGCCCCTATTTCACTGCGATTGAGAGAATGAAAGTAAACTCCATTTCTTTCTCTCTCTCTCTCTCTCACTGTGGCCCATTTGACCTGCTGGCATGACTTTTCCTCTCCTCTCAGCTGTTTCAGCGATACTTCTGGATACAGAGACGAGCGCGAGTTTTCTCCATAGTGTCTATCATGGATCAGCTATGATCGCAGCTGCCGTTTATCAGTGTCACTCATTTGTAAAGAGCGCCTTCGCGTAAGAGCCAATCGCAGTCCTTTCAATTGAGGATGTGACCAATCGCAGGGGTGTAAGAACTTGGTAGACAAGGCTCAGAAAGCGAGCAGGATATTTGTATTTGTTTATTTACTGCAAATGTTCATGTTGTTTAAAACAGTGGTTCTCAAACTGTGGTACGTGTACCCCTAGTGGTACGCGGGTTTCCTTCTAGTGGTACACGGAGGAATGAAATATGTCATGTACATGCAACATATAATTCAAAATGTATTAAAAATTATGTATATAGTATGCCATATATTATATATAGGCTATATTTCTAAGGTAATCTGCCAGGTTTTTTAACTGTGCAGAGTTGTAGCTGCTTTACTAGTCCAACTACGCTACGGTATTTCAATGCTGCTCATTTTGGTGGTACTTGGAGAGACAATGTTTTTCTAAGGTGGTACTTGATAGAAAAAAGTTTGAGAACCACTGGTTTAAAATATTAGTTTATATATCTGACTGTTTGAATTAAGGGACAAAATCGTATTACAAATAATATATAAATATAAATTATACATATTAATTTGTGAAAAAAAAATGTGAAGAAAATATAAAACTGTGTATGGAAAGCACCGTCAATGCACCCTGATTGAGGGATATCGAATTGAACCGAACCAATGGCAAGTTAATCGTAACCAAACTAAACCATGAGACCAGTGTAGGTGTTATTATTATTATTATTATTATTATTAGTATTATTATTATTCATTTTATTGTTTATTATATTATGAATTGTAATTTATTATTATTCAGTAATATAGAATACACATTTAATATTATTTTTGTTAAGGGATAGTTTAAAAATGATATCTCTGTAAATATTTACTCACCCTTTAATTGTTTTAAACCTATTTGAGTTTTCTTTCTTCTGGTAATACAATAAAATAAGTTGTTTTGATGAATGCTGGTTATTGGTACCCATTGACATCCATGGTAATTTGCCAACCAGCATTTCTCTAAATATCTTATGTTAAGAAAAAATAAAAAATAAAAAATCATAAATGTTTAAAACCTTTGAATATGAAAAGGTTTTTCATGTTTGGGTGTACTATCCCTTTAATTGAGTTTGGTGCTAGTGGCACAGACATACTGTAACATAGTTCACCTTATAGGTTTCTTGTGCTGCTCTGCCAGATGGCTGCATAAAACTCTAAAATACCTGAAAAATGATTCCCAAATTGATGTAATGTATTCATAGGAATGTAACTTAAAAAGAAAAAATGAGTGAAGTTATATTCATTATCCACCATTCCTCTAGAACCTGCTCCATTGAAAAAGCAGGCTTCGAAAGCCATTGTCTCGGTTATTACTGATATTTTGCAGAAATCTATATGTAATATGGAATAGTTACATGAAATATTAATGGTTTCAAATGAAACCGTATCAAAGTTAGCACCGCTAGCTGTAGACAGACAGTCCAAATGAAAGCGATAAAAGTCAGCTGAGAAAAACTGAACGGCCTTACTTAATGGAATAAGCTGGCAGTAAAAAGATTCAGAGTAAAATATCTATGATGACTGAACTGAAATCTAGTGGAAGACCTGGGGGTGGGGTAAGCCGAAATATGAGTTCTAAAATGAGCTTGTGAAGCCATGCTATGTAGTTTTTGAGGAGAATTTATAGTATTTTCTCAATGTGTAAGTTTATTGTCTGGTTTACCAGTGGAAATGCTCACAGGCTGAGCCAGATGCAGAAGCGTATTTCACTTAATGCTAAGCAGTTTATGAATAGCAATTGAATGCCTCACCAGCTACTTTATTAGATACTGGTTGGTCCCTCTTTTACCTTCAGAACTGCTTAAATGTTTTTGTGGCACAACAAAATGATCCATTCTGGTGGATGCTGCACACTGGTAGCGTTGAGAAGAGACCTCCTTATACTGTATGATTGCTTGAAGTGCTTTGGGCATATAAAAATACACAGTATAAAACCACTATATATAACAAATCGTTTGTTCATATACTGGTCTGATAAATACTGTTGTATGAGTTATGTATCATATGAAGAATTAAAATTAGCTCCGGGTACGTTTTAATTTTGTTTTAAAGTCAGGCACTGATTTTTAACATTTTTTTTTGTTTCTATCATTTGGTATGCAAGAGTTATTGTAATTATAGTAGTGAATTATCCAGTTGTGTTTTTTCTCATTTATCTAGAAAATAGAGATTTTAAGCTTTCAAATGGTATTTTATAAATAAATGAATATATATATATATATATATATATATATATATATATATATGCCCCCCACAGACATTTACATATTTAAAAGAAAACATTATGATTTCAATTTGAACCCGTTACAAGATCTGCATAGTACAAGAGGCTAAAACTCTGGTCAGATCACAAGAATTTGTCACAATTTTGTCACAATTTCCTTGATGTAGGGTGTCGTGGGGAGTCATAAACGACAAATGGGCGTCGTGACACAAGATTTAATCGTTTCTTGTCATATAATGTGGCATAGTTCACAACAATCGATACAATGTCTGCGACGCCTCACAACCCCATTGCAAAAAGTAAATTTTTTCCCTGGTCTTAATGATGGATTCTGTCATGTGAGTGACACTGGTCAATAGGAGCACATAATTTCTCAGTTATATTCGCGGATGCTGTCATTAATACGCGCAGGGCTGGACTGGGGCAAAAAATCGGCCCTGGCATTTTGGGCCAGAGCGGCCCACTAAATTCAATCAAAATGCTATCTATCTATGCACGTCCAATATTTTTATCAACTCATATTCTATAAAACACAAAAGCCATATATATGAAATAAATAAATAAATAAATACAAACTTTAATCTCAATTTAATTTCTGTATACTGTCCAGGTATTTGGTAAGTTCTAAAAAATACACTATTCATTAATTTATGTTTCTTTGCATAAGTCCCTTATTTATCAGGGGTTTCCGCAGTGGAATGAACTGCCAACTATTCCAGCATGTTTTATGCAGCAGATGCCTTTCCAGCCACAACCCAATATTGGAAATCACCCATACACACTCATTCACACACACTCATACACTACAGCCAATTTAGCTTATTCAATACACTATTCACTCAGCCTATATTTCAACAATAAACATAACAAAAACTGCCTGCTAATGCATGGGCAAATCTTCAAAGGGAACAGTGTTACATTTTCGCCTCTTTCACCTCATCCTGCTCGCTGTTTCACTATCTAAACAATCAAAACATAATATAAGTCAAATTTTTTTATTTTAATATTATGACTAACAAACACAAAACAGCTTCGTGTTGCTGCATATTTATATGAGCATCATCTCCACTCTGCATATTTATAACAAAACAGGGCTTAAATATAACTGTCTCCTTTCATTTCCATTGAAAAGAATGAACTTTACCCAGTCTCTTTTGCAGAATATCAGTTTTAATAACCAATAATGGCCATTATAACAGTATAACGTACATTTAAATTTAAACGATAAAGGTAGGCAATCAGTCAATGTGCAGAATCAGTGTATGTGATTACATAAATTAATATATTAGGTTATCTTTGCACTCAGCCAAAACAGTTAACTGAGAACAAGTGATTCAAAAGACATAAGAATTGTTAGATAGAGACAACAAGATGAATTCAATATCACGTTTAGCAACTATAGTGAGATAAGATCATCCAGCATATGAACTGTCTGACATGCACTATACTTTCACCTGGGGTTTATGCTCACCCGCTGAACTACTGGCTGCAACTCTTGGCAGAGAGTGTGCATGTGTGTGGTCACATGATTTGCGTTTTTAGCTGTGTACTAGAATGAACAGCGAACTTTTCAGAACAACTAAATGAAACGCCGGTGTATTTCCCGCGA